ATCTTTCAAATTGTAATGTTAAAAAAAAGAGAAAAATGTATTATTATGATAAACAGAAAATTCAAGTTTTTTTCTATAAATACGGGATTTATTTTCATCGAATGGTATAAAAACTATCACATTTTACTCGTGGCTACCTCCACTTGTGAAATATCTATTTTCATACCATTAGATGAAAATAAATCCTATATTTATAGGAAAAACTGGAATATCCTTATATTAATAATATTAATGTTTATTGCACGAATTATTTTAATTTTAGATTAGAAAACTTAAATTTATTTAAGGCTATTAAATTTGTGATATGTCGAATGAATTACTAACATTTTCCAAGCATACCATACATTCAAGAAAGTAATGCATTGTTTTATCTTATTTTATTTATTTCTTTTTTTTACATAAGGAAATTTAACGACAGATCAAATAGATTACTTATTTATTTCAATACTAACGTTCTTTAAAAAATGTGTTTGAGAAGCAATCAACGATCAATCTGTATATTTGTAAATAAATGAACGAATGAAGAAATATTGTAATTTACTAGGAATTCATGTTTTTCCGTTGTTTTTTTTTTGTTGTTTTTTGTGGGGGAGGGGGTTGGGGTTTTACATCGCACAAACATAGTTTAAGTCATATGGCGACTTTCCAGCTTTACTGGTGGTTTACTGATGGAGGAAAACATCAGGTGTCCCTCCATGCATTTTTTTATCAGACATGAACGGGCACTTGAGTAGAACCGCAAGTGTCCAATAAGCTAGTATGATAGCTTCCTCACAGGAGAGAATCCAAAGTTTGTCGGAATTTGAAACCACAGTGAGGGGCAAGTGGTTTGACGCCTACGACCATAACCACTCGACAAAGAACGCCCTTTGTATTCAATCCTTTAATAATAACAAGAAGAAATCAAATAGAGTTATTTTAAAAATTTAGAAAAAATTCTTTCTCGTGATTTTCATCAAGAGTATCTTTAATTAAAAATCTTTTGTAATCGGACGAGTTTCTGTACTTAATATGCACAAGTTGCAGGAAAACGATTAGAGAAATGAAGTCAAAGAAATTCGTGAAATAAAAACAACAACAAGAAATTTAAAAAAAGTTCATCGACATGTCATCGAGGCTAAAGATTTTTATTTTATTGCCTGAAAAAAAAAAGTTATTACAATCAACTCCTAGATTTGTTTCATCAGTATTAAACTTTTCAATAAGCGTTAAAGTCATAAACTACGCTAATTGCTGGACCTTGAAATAGTTTGGATGCGTAAATTATGCAGTAAACAACTATTAATTATGCCAATCTTTGACAGAAAAATTTGCATTTATTGCGCCGAATTTGAAGGTGTATCCCTGGAATGTCGCAAATTTATTTCTCGAAAATTATTTTTTGCTTCCCTTGATCTGACTAGGAAGTGTAAACAAAAGTGGCATCGCCCGTTTTATATGTTCGATCTGGGATAAAAACAAGTGTTATTTTTTTATGTCCCAGGTTCGGTATCCATCGACTTATGCTAAAAACTTATAAATACATACACACATAAAAAGGGTTCCTGAGAAAAATAAACAATGTATAATATAAGTGAAAAATATTGAATTATTAGTCTTACATTTGTCCAATAGAAATATCAATAGAACTAACACTGCGTAATTTAATTATATATTTCAGAACAGCGATAATGCATTATTTTACTACATCGATCCTGGTAGTATGCGCATGCGCATTGGTCAGCATTCATTGTCAGCCAGTTCCGTACGCGTCACAGCAAAATACAGGGCCATTACAACAGATAATGTCACAGGCGCAGCCAAACCAGCCATTCATGTATAACAGCTGGGGATCGAACCCCTACAGTTCAACAAGCTCCGGGCTTTTCTCGGGAAACAATTTTTGGCATCGTCTGCTAATAGGATGGTACCGGGAAGGTTTAATTGACGTAATGGATTTGATGAATTTGGCTTGAGATATAAAACAAATACGGTAAGTCTTCTTTTTTTATAATTTCACGGTTTGTTGAATGTGATTGTTGTTAATTTTCTCTTTGAATTAGATTTATAACTTTTTGTCAACCCATAAGTTATTGCACGGTCAAGAAAAACGTTTTATTTGAAATACTGCACTTTTTTTTTGTTTTTGTGTTGTTTTTTTGCAAGTAAATTTCATTCTTTTCAAATGACACTTAAAGTTATTTGATATATTTTCTATACACTACGGTGTCCAATTAGGACCATCCCGACATAATTGTTACTTGAAAAAAAAACGAAAATACGATAATGAAACGTCAAAATAACGAAACTACGATGGTGAAAACTTGATATAGTTTCACAACCCTGGCTCCGTAATTTCGACTTTTCACCATCGTAATTTCGTTGTTTCGAGTGTTGTGTGTGTCGGGATGGCCCTTACGGGACAAGGTAATATATAATGAGTAATATTAAAAAATATGACGTTAGTAAAGTGAATGGATACCATGGTGTTGCCCTTAGTGATTATAATAAATATATTATACAAATATGGACTTTTTAGCTGTTGAATATGATGTGATATGTACTGAAAAAATTAATATTGACCGAGGCGATAGCCGAGGTCAATATTAATTTTTCAGTACATATCACATCATATTCAACAGCTAAAAAGTACATATCTGTTTTATTATATAATTTATAAATAGCTTTTATATGGCTTATCAAATCTGCCATTGCATATGACGGAAATCATTATTTTTCAGCTTGTCTACTGTTTCAATAATTTGGCCCTTTCCATTGGCATGCTAATCCCTATTTTTCTTAAAAATGAAAAACAGTAACTAAAATAGACTAATTTGACTCTGATGTACACCCAACTCAACATTTTTTTCAGAATAATAACAACAAACTTGGCGTTACGTCATGTCAAAGTCTCGTGTCTTTTAGGGATTTCCAGAAAATCTATTTTTAGAAGAATAACCGGTGAATATACTCTGAAAATCTATTTTTAGGAAAAAAACAGTGAATATACTCTGATATTGACCTGTTATTTTTTACAAAAAGTTGCTTGTTAGCCAATCAGGGAAAGGCATTTCAAAGCTATTTATAGATTATATAATAATAATTATTATTCTATTGTGAAACGATTTCTTCATGTTTGTATAAGGTATAAACAACCATTTTCCTTTTTTTCATTTCAGGAGTTTAAGATCCCCCATGATGATTATAGTACCAAACTAACCACAGAATTACCACCGTTCATTTCTTCATAATTTTGTATATTAACCGATCATTTTTGTATCTTTGTATAAAATATATTTATTGAAATGACTTCGTTATATTTTTTATTATATTTTACTTTAAACTTGTTTAAGTTACAAGCTTCAATAATGAATTAAATAGAGCTGATGAGATATCGTCTTGCAAATAGACATTCAGAAGTATTTTATGATAAACAGATTCAAAAGCAACAAAATTCATCAAGATATGTTTCGATTTATTTAGCTTCTTTTTTACTTTTGATTGGTTGCTTAAATTATGGGGGAAAAGAACGAAGGCATTTTATTTTCCCTTCGCCTTAAACAACGAACGGTTCGAAATGGCGAAAGAAATGATGGTACTTGTAGTACACGTATGCTTTTAAAAATCATATCGCTAAAAATAGCATAACTTCTTTATTACTGATACACATTCAAATTACGCATTGGACAGGAACACAATTTCAGTTTGTTCAACATAAAATCTTTCCTTTTGTTAAGTGTTTATTTTCGTGAATGGACCGATTTTACGATCGCACGAAGAGAAATGAAAAAAAAATAGAGAAACTTTCATATAACGACCAAGTTTATAACCGATCATTTGTTTTTATTCCCCTAATGAAGGATTCTCAAAGACTTGTGAAGTAATTTACTATTAGTTAACTGATTTTACAGTAATTTTAAATTACAAATTGTATCAGTAATATAATTATGTTCATTTTACCCACTTTAGTGTGTTTTTTCTTTATTATTTCGTTACCGTTGGCAGGAAATGTTGAAGGTTATACCATACATATACAAAACAGGAAGTACAACTAGAATAACAATCAAGTGGCATATAACATACAACATATAAAACATACCCAGATCATCAGCCACTATAAACACAATGTTTGGTCTCTTTCCTTCCAAGTTATGAACACTGGTGATCAGAAATATCAAACTTATTGTTATTACACTTTGCATTTTGCATTATCACTCAAATAACAGCATTGAAAAATAAACGAAATAAAAAAAACTACATACACACAAAGCTAACCGATCTAAATAAATACTTGTAATATAATACTGCGTAACCATCGACTGTTTTACTGTCAGTCAAGTATAAAACGACACAAATTTAACAAAAATTCACATACGGGTACTTGTTCTCAAAGGCTATTAATGGCAATATCGATTTTATAACTTCACAAACTGTTGAGTTTAGAATGCAATTCCTCAAAATATGGATTTATTTATCGGAGATCTAAACTGTGCAGTAGAAAATTTAATGATATATCGACAATTCAATCAATATATACGGAAAACTCCGACAATTTGTAATTAATTCGCAATGCCCTGCTAAATGCAGTTATACGTTTTATGGTAACAGACACCGCTCTTTTTTCTCAGAAAGTCAAGAATTTTAACATTTTTGATGGATCTGACCTATTCCATTCAATACGCTCATATTTAGATACCAAACTTGAACATTATAATTAAGATTCAAGTTCTTAACTCGTTTAACTTATATTTGTAATCAATAAGGTATCTCGGATCGTAATAGTTTCTTTAATGCACATTTATTTAAACTATTTAAGTGCATTATTTATCTAACTTGAAAACTTGCTTTGTGTGAAGAGGAAATTATATATGACCTGTGAGTGTACAATACTGATATTCAGACATAAAGATTTTTTAAAAATATTATTATTTTATTTCGAAACAATACTTAAACTGTGCTTGAAAAGGTTTTAACAGCGCGAGAACATATGACACTTCGCTGAATAAAAATAGCTAACTTTTAAATCTAATTATCAATATACTCTTTCTTTTAGACATAGGTATATATATATATATGTGAATAACTGTCCACGAGTTAGCCATTGGTAGTATATTCAGATACAATTTTCGCCGTTAATTTTTACGATGTCAGATGAATACTTATAGAAAAATAATTTAATGTCCATTAAATTTACGAATGAATTTCACGGACATGTTATTTTTTATGCGACACTTTGTTGAAATGTGGCAACATTTTCGCTATTTTCCGTAAAACTTGTGTCGTTTTAGCGTAAACAATCTGTAGTTCGATCAATTATTAATAGCAGGTAAAGGTGTTCCAGCGTATTGAGTATAATCAATATCAGCGTTCATGAATATTTGAAAGAATGCTTACAATGGAATAATTACTTGATGTGAATTTAATACCAGTGACACATTTGTGATATTTTATAGAGATGTGTTAATATAAATATCATTTTAACAAATACATGATGTTGACATTGTTTACTGTAAGTTTGATTTATATGTTATGTACCAGTATCTCGGATGGTAAAAGGCCTAACATAGTGTTCATTGTAGCGGATGATTTAGGTATGTATTATATTGTCAACACGTTTTACATTAAATATAGATGTCTAGACCTGTTTAATATAACTTGGTTTTCTTTTTGTCATATGTGGGATTTTTAAAACGCTCGTAAAAGTCTTAATTTATCGCATGAAAATAAAGATATATAAGTTGTACACATACAATAGGAAAAAAACCTATATTAATGATATGTTTAAGCTACAATCTATGCATTTTAGAGCCATTAAGTATTGTCGTTGATCTCTCTTCTACATCCGTTAGTACCGTTACTCATTCAGATTCTATATAAGAATACGTCAACCTGTACAAAAATATGGTAGAATGTTTAAAACTTCGATAGAAAATCTTACAATTGTTACTTTTAATTTATCATTTAAAGATCGCTTTATTACCAGTATAAATGTCTTAAATTGATTTTTCCATCTACCCTTGATATAACCATTCACCATTTTAAAGCGAGATGATCAAAATATGGCCAGTGCAAACCTTGACAGAACGACACTAATGTGCCGACTAATCCTGGTCTGTGCATAGGCTATTGCCGTCAGCAGGCTAAAGGTAAAACACGTATAGCCTATTGCCGTCAGCAGGCTAAAGGTAAAACACGTATAGGCTATTGCCGCCAGCAGGCTAAAGGTAAAACACGTATAGGCTATTACCGCCAGCAGGCTAAAGGTAAAACACGTATAGGCTATTGCCGCCAGCAGGCTAAAGGTAAAACACGTATAGGCTATTGCCGCCAGCAGGCTAAAGGTAAAACACGTATAGCCTATTGTCGTCAGCAAGCTGAAGGTAAAACACGTATAGCCTATGGCCGCCAGCAGGCTAAAGGTAAAACACTTATAGGCTATCACCGCCAGCAGGCTAAAGGTAAAACACGTATAGCCTATTGCCGTCAGCAGGCTAAAGGTAAAACACGTATAGCCTATTGCCGTCAGCAGGCTAAAGGTAAAACACGTATAGGCTATTGCCGCCAGCAGGCTAAAGGTAAAACACGTATAGCCTATAGCCGCCAGCAGGCTAAAGGTAAAACACGTATAGGCTATTGCCGCCAGCAGGCTAAAGGTAAAACACGTATAGCCTATTGCCGCCAGCAGGCTAAAGGTAAAACACTTATAGGCTATTGCCACCAGCAGGCTAAAGGTAAAACACGTATAGGCTATTGCCGTCAGCAGGCTGAAGGTAAAACAGGTAAAACACGTATAGCCTATAGCCGCCAGCAGGCTAAAGGTAAAACACTTATAGGCTATTGCCGCCAGCAGGCTAAAGGTAAAACACGTATAGCCTATTGCCGTCAGCAGGCTAAAGGTAAAACACGTATAGCCTATTGCCGTCAGTAGGCTAAAGGTGAAACACTTATAGTCTATTCCGCCAGCAGGCTTAAGGTAAAACACGTATAGGCTATTACCGCCAGCAGGCTAAAGGTAAAACACGTATAGCCTATTGACGTCAGCAGGTTAAAGGTAAAACACGTATAGCCTATTGCCGTCAGCAGGCTAAAGGTAAAACACGTATAGACTATTGCCGCCAACAGGCTAAAGGTAAAACACGTATAGCCTATAGCCGCCAGCAGGCTAAAGGTAAAACACGTATAGCCTATTGCCGCCAGCTGGCTTATGGTAAAACACGTATAGCCTATAGCCGCCAGCAGGCTAAAGGTATAACACGTTTAGGCTATTTCCGCCAGCAGGCTAAATGTTAAACACGTATAGCCTATAGCCGCCAGCAGGCTAAAGGTTTAACACGTATAGGCTAAAGCCACCAGCAGGCTAAATGTAAAACACGTGTAGCCTATAGCCACCAACAGGCTAAAGGTAAACACGTATAGGCTATTACCGCCAGCAGGCTAAAGGTAAAACACGTATAGCCTATTGACGTCAGCAGGTTAAAGGTAAAACACGTATAGCCTATTGCCGTCAGCAGGCTAAAGGTAAAACACGTATAACCTATTGCCGTCAACAGGCTAAAGGTAAAACACGTATAGCCTATTACCGTCAGCAGGCTAAAGGTAAAACACGTATAGCCTATTGCCGTCAGCACGCTAAAGGTACAACACGTATAGGCTATTGCCGCCAGCAGGCTAAAGGTAAAACACGTATAGGCTATTGCCGCCAGCTGGCTAAAGGTAAAACACGTATAGGCTATTGCCGCCAGCAGGCTAAAGGTAAAACACGTATTGGCTTTAGCCGCAAGCTGGCTAAAGGTAAAACACGTATAGCCTATTGCCGCCAGCAGGCTAAAGGTAAAACACGTATAGCCTAAAGCCACCAGCAGGCTAAATGTAAAACACGTGTAGCCTATAGCCGCCAACAGGCTAAAGGTAAACACGTATAGCCTATTGCCACCAACAGGCTAAAGGTAAAACACGTATAGGCTATAGCCGCCAGCTGGCTAAAGGTAAAACACGTACAGGCTATTGCCGCCAGCAGGCTAAAGGTAAAACACGTACAGCCTATTGCCTCCAGTAAAGCAAATTGTAAAGTAAAGTAAAGTAAAAATAAAATAAAGTAAAGTTAATATTTCATTATCGTGACATGTGCATCTATTACAATACGTATAATAATTTTAAATAACACTTTGTACAACAACAACGTATTTGCTAAAATGTTATAACGACATTATAGCCATACAGGATAAATGTAATAATGTACATAATAATATTATGGTTTGTTTTCAAATACCACTTTGAGTGTAATTTGTATATTACTGACAAACTTAAGACGCGCGACTTGTAAATAAGACTTTTGCATCTTGGTGATAGTTTCTGGACCAGTTTAGTTTATTTTCTTGTGGTTATGTTATCACGTTAGTTTTTGGGTGATAGTTTATGGAGTATGTTTAGTTTATTTTCTGGTGGTTATGTTATCACGTTATGTTTGGGATGATAGTTTATGGAGTATGTTTAGTTTATTTTCTTGTGGTTATGTTTTCACGTTAGTTTTGGGGTGATAGTTTATGGAGTATGTTTAGTTTATTTTTTGTGGTTATGTTATCACGTTAGATTTGGGGTAATAGTTTATGGAGTATGTTTAGTTTATTTTCTTGTGGTTATGTTATCACGTTAGTTTTGGGGTGATAGTTTATGGAGTATGTTTAGTTTATTTTCTTGTGGTTATGTTATCACGTTAGTTTTGGGGTGATAGTTTATGGAGTATGTTTAGTTTATTTTCTTGTGGTTATGTTATCACGTTAGTTTTGGGGTGATAGTTTATGGAGTATGTTTAGTTTATTTTCTTGTGGTTATGTTATCACGTTAGTTTTGGGGTGATAGTTTATGGAGTATGTTTAGTTTATTTTCTTGTGGTGTTATCTCGATAGTTTTGGGGTGATAGTTTATGAAGTATGTTTAGTTTATTTTCTTGTGGTTATGTTATCACGTTAGTTTTGGGGTGATAGTTTATGGAGTATGTTTAGTTTATTTTCTTGTGGTGTTATCACGTTAGTTTTGGGGTGATAGTTTATGGAGTATGTTTAGTTTATTTTCTTGTGGTGTTATCACGTTAGTTTTGGGGTGATAGTTTATTAAGAATGTTTAATTTTTTTTCTTGTGGTTATGTTATCACGTTAGTTTTGGGGTGATAGTTTATGGAGTATGTTTAGTTTATTTTCTTGTGGTGTTATCACGTTAGTTTTGGGGTGATAGCTTATGGAGTATGTTTAGTTTATTTTCTTGTGGTTATGTTATCACGTTAGTTTTGGGGTGATAGTTTATGAAGTATGTTTAGTTTATTTTCTTGTGGTTATGTTATCACGTTAGTTTTGGGGTGATAGTTTATAGAGTATGTTTAGTTTATTTTCTTGTGGTGTTATCACGTTAGTTTTGGGGTGATAGTTTATGAAGTATGTTTAGTTTATTTTCTTGTGGTTATGTTATCACGTTAGTTTATGTAGTGTGTTTAGTTTATTTTCTTGTGGTTATGTTATCACGTTAGTTTTGGGATGATAGTTTATTGAGTATGTTTAGTTTATTTTCTGGTGGTTATGTTATCATGTTAGTTTATGGAGTGTGTTTAGTTTATTTTCTTGTGGTTATGTTATCACGTTAGTTTTGGGATGATAGTTTATGGAGTATGTTTAGTTTATTTTCTTGTGGTTATGTTATCACGTTAGTTTTGGGGTGATAGTTTATGGAGTATGTTTAGTTTATTTTCTTGTGGTTATGTTATCACGTTAGTTTTGGACGACAGGAAGTTATTATTTAACGAGAAATTCTTCACGGAGAACATAACAACAATATTTTACGAAACGACAAATTTGTCCTTGAATTATTTTGTTGTTTTACTTATAGATTATTTGCATTGCAAAGAAGTAGAGTGAATTATTTCATTGTATGTATTTTTGTTTTAATTACCGTAAAACATTATTGCTGTCTTATTTACAAATCAAGATGAAATTTTAATATGCTTGAAATTATGTTATTTAATAATTTACAAAATGTCCAATACTTCCTTCTTCCCTTTTCACGTTTTCCTCCTTTTCAACGTTCTGCATTTTGTATCGCTAAAACAGGTCCCCCTTCCCTTCCATTATATAGTAGATCGATTGAACTAGAGTAAATCTTTTGTATTCAATTTTGTATAGTTTGAAAAGTGCTGTTAACGCGGACAATATTGTAGCTTTGAAAAAAAATGAAAATATTAAACATAGTTTTCAGTTTTGTCATATTTTTAAAAATATATTAAACAGAACAGACTAATTAGGAATATACTATATTCCGCCTGACGTGTTTCTGACGTAAATTATACTAATGATAACTTAAACCGATAAAAAACATAGAACCCTTTTTACCTTTTCCGAATCACAGGTTGGCCATTTATAATTTGGTTGATTTATGTTATAATCAGAAAGACAACAAAGGGGTGGTATGAATTAACCATCAGACAAATTATAAATTTTCAGGATGGAACGATGTCGGGTTCCACAATCCATCTATGATCACACCTAACATTGATAAACTTGCCTACCAGGGAGTGATTCTGAACCACTCATATGTTCAACCAGTCTGCTCGCCGTGAGTATAGCTGATACATGCACAACTGTCGTTTTTTTTTTGTTTCGATTCGCTTAGTACTTGTTCGTTCTAGGAACAGGGCGTGTTTCAATTAACTGATAGCTTCCAACACAATCGAACTAACATAAATTCTGTATTTGATATTGAATAAACAAAATAAATGCTTATTTATTTTGTCACACGGCGGCATTTTTATGCCCCCACAATGTTGGAGCATATAGCGTTGCACTTGTCCGTCCGTCCGTCAGTCTGTCAGTCCGTACGTCCCGAAATCTTGTGAACGCAACTCCTCTTAAACCGGATGGCAGATTTTGCTTAAACTTACAGGGATAAATAACCTTAATGTGTAGATGGTAGTAAAGGAAGGAATTTTTGCTGTGACCAAATTTTACAGAATTATGGCCCTTTGTTGATTTTTTCACTAGATACTATGTAGAAATTTTGTGAACGCAACTCCTCTTAAACCGGATGGCAGATTTTGCTTAAACTTACAGGGATGAACAACCTTAATGTGTAGATGGTAGTAAAGGAAGGAATTTTTGCTGCAACCAAATTTAACAGAATTATGGCCCTTTGTTGATTTTTTCACCATATACTATGAAGAAATTTTGTGGACGCAACTCCTCTTAAACCGGATGGCAGATTTTGCTTAAACTTACAGGGATGAACAACGTAAAGGTGTAGATGGTAGTAAAGGAAGGAATTTTTGCTGTGACCAAATTTAACAGAATTATGGTCCTTTGTTGATTTTTTCATTATATACTATGTAGAAATTTTGTGAATGCAGCTCCTCTTAAACCGGATGGCAGATTTTGCTTAAACTTCCAGGGAATGAACAACCTAAATGTGTAGATGGCAGTAAAGGAAGGAATTTTTGCTGCAACCAAATTTAACAGAATTATGGCCCTTTGTTGATTTTTTCATTATATACTATGTAGAACGTTTGTGAACGCAACTCCTCTTAAACTGGATGGCAGCATTTTGCTTAAACTTCCAGGGATTAACAACCTTAATGTGTAGATGGTAGTAAAGGAAGGAATTTTTGCTGCGACCAAATTTAACAGAATTATGGCCCTTTGTTGATTTTTAGTTTTCAACTTGTGGCACATGTAGTCCAAAAAATATTTGACCTAGAGTCATGAGATTGACGGAACAGTGGCGTGTGGGGGCATCCGTGTCCTATGGACACATTTCTAGTTTATTACTGTTTCTTTATTTATATTCTCAAATTTCCAGTAGAATGAGTTCTTTCCCATCATAATATTACCATGATTAATAGAAACCTATTGTGAACCAGTAGAAAATCAAATATACAATGTGCTTATAGAAATGGTTTATAATTTGTTATCCGTTTAATGATTTATGCATACAATATATAAAATTTGTCCGTCCGTTATATAAAGGTTTCTTCATTTCATTGTGACAGATCAAGACATGCCTTTATGACTGGGTACTATCCATTTAAAGCTGGCTTGCAGGTACAATATCTTCCATATTATCCTTTGTCATAATAACCTTTGAAGAAAAAACGCTTTCTTATAAGAACAATATTTCGTGACAAGACAGGACCCGAATGATATATTTAAAAAGTAGATCATTCATTTAAAAGTGTCATATATCTTTTATTATTTCCGAGCGTTTGCATTTTCTTTCTCCAATGAACATATGTACTGCAACGAAGAATTCATCATACCGTTTTAAAAGTAACGATTTTACATCCTTTTCATAGTCAAAATCCGATTTTTAAAGTCGATTTATGATACAAATTGTGTTTTTTGGGCGATTTTAAAAGGGCCCCAAATTATCCCCTTCAAAAAAATTGTTTTTATTCTTTTTTTAAAAAAGTTTTTTTATTTTTTGGGCCCGGGTTATTTATCAAAAAAATATTTCTTTGGGCCAAATTAAACCTGAGCCATTTTTTTTATCTGTTGTTTTTTGGGAAATAAGTAAAATTTAAAGTGATTTGGGTTTTTGAAATAAAGTCAAAACCCTATTTTTGGTACATTTTCTTTTTTAAACGAAAAAAATTTTTATATTTACCAAAAAACTTTCTCCCGGGTGATAGGCAATTAACATCCCTTTTAAAAGCCATTAACTAAACTTTATAAAACTCATGTATGCCCTTTTTAAACAAAAGGGAAACTATTTATCATTACTGAGGCATAATGTGCCTTTAATCATAATTCTGTTGTTTCTGTTACAGCATATGGTGATATGTGACGAGCAGGATGTGTGTTCACCATTAAACATGACGTTTCTTTCCAGTCATCTCAAGAAAGCTGGTTATGCTACACATGCTATTGGAAAGTAAGAATCTCATGCGCCGATCATAAGGGGGAGGGGGTAGTAGGGGTAGTAGGGCCGAAAGAAATGTCTGTTTATATTAAATCTGATTTTTTCCTAAAAGTTTAACGTTCAGTTCATAAAAAGAGTGGGACAGTCTTTTTTATATTTTTATAGTCAGATTTATATTTCATCTTGATATCAACTGTTGGTCAATCACCATTATTGCAGTGATTTTTTTTTAATGTATAGTTAATTCAGCTCAACTTGACAATGAAAAAATGAACATAATGTAACTTTTTATGGCTTCAAAATTGGTGAAATATTTAGTGAAATCTAATGATTTTGAAAGTTTAAATACGTCGCGAGAGCATTTTACGTAACATATATAAATAAATGCTCGTGTGAAATAGTTTCGACCTATCTTTTCTATGACAAATGAAATATTTCAATACATTATTTATTATAATTTACGAAATATACCTGCAGGCATGTGACTCATTTTTATTACCTTTATATTCTGATGTTAATAAATTAGGTTTATTTACCAACGTGACTTACGTAATCTTATAACATGAAATTTTTGTGGAAGATAGAAATAACAACTGTTTATAAAAGGAAACTATTGTAACAGGTAATTTAATAATTTTTTTCCCATAATTCGAGCAGAAGATTGCAGGTAAATGCTTATATAAGTAACGACTTATGAATTATTCATTTAGAATTAAATGAACATTTTGTTTTTTTATCCTTTTTTGGGGTGGGGGATGGGGAGAGGTTACATCACACTGACACTGTGTGGGTGATATGGCGGTGTTCCAGGTTTACTGGTGGAGGAAGACCTAAGGTGTCCTTCCGTGCTTTATTTCAAGCTCGAACGGGCACCTGAGTAGAAACACCGGCGTTCCGTAAGCTAGCTGGATGACTTCCTCATATGAAAGACTCTCTGTCGGGATTCGAACGACCTTAACCACTTGGCCACGGACGCCCCATGAACGTTTTGTTTTAAATGTCTCCAGGTATATACTCTTATATATTTTTTATATAATTTCATGAAGCTAAATATAAATATATGTAATAATTTATGGTAACCAAAAACAAGTATTTCGCTGTCTAATTGAATTAATATAATTTCTCAAACTGAAGTAGCGTGTTTCATAACCCCTTTATAGTTATATTTATCTGATGCAAACTGTTGCATTTGTTGTATTCCTTTCCCTTGTCTGGTAAATATTTGCAATATTTCTTCCATAGATGGCATCTGGGATTCTGTAGCTGGGAGTGCACACCGGAATATCGCGGGTTCGAGTCTTTCTATGGCTACTACAACAGTCGGTCCGACTATTTTACTCATGAAGAAGGTATGGTTTAATATTTTCAAATCATTATCGCATCTTAATTCACACCACATCACATCGCATCACATCACATCACATTATATCGTATCGTATCGCATCATATCGTATCGTATTATATATGATATAATATATCATATCATGTCATATCGTTTATATAATATCGTATTGTAACGTGTCGTATCGATAACATACTTGTATAGTATCTCATTGTATCGATAACGTATCGTGTCATATGAATGTCATATCTTGCTGTATTCAAATCATATCATATTATTTCACTCATATCGCATCATATCATATCAGAACGAGAGAAAAAATCCATCTTTATATCCATGCATCAAACTTACTTGGTTCTCTAACTGTATTGTTAAATTCAAGGAAGATCTTTTAACTTACATGTATATACAAATTGATAATTATTAAATATGTTTTCACTGGCAGCATACATATATTTTATTTAATTTTGTAGTTCGTGATTTTTGAGACGTTTTGTCAAGTTCATTCACATACATGTATATTGTTAAGATAATATCTTGCCAACAAGTTAATTAGTTGAGATGGGATATATGCATGTAAGATTTATACAAGTTAGTTAGCTTATTGCGAGGACATATTCGTAAGTACTGATATGACATTTTAACACTGGCAAGTATTGTCCGCATATACCGTTACATTTACATATCATGTGAAAAAAATCATTTGAATCTAATATTGACCTATTTGAAATTTTATATTCATAATTGAAGCATACCGTTTGTATATTTCAGCAAACTATCTAGATTTTCATGATGGTTACGACGTGGTGTGGGACAAGAACGGGTCCTACTCTGCGGTAATGTTCATTGTTGTTATATGTATTTTTAATTTGAGTTATAATATGGTAAGAAATTATTTAACATAAAGTAAAATTCAGCTAAAAATACAAATCGTCATAATGCAGTAATGGGTTACCACCCATTAAAATACATAAGGAGTGAGCCCGTAACTACACTAAGGTGACGAAATGATATCAACCATGAAAGGAATTTTAGACACGAACGTTATGCCGTCTTTCTGAATGAGTACTTGCCTAATTTTCTGGTCATTTAATAAAGTGTTGAAGTTATCAGCACATACCCTATTGGAACAAGAATACATCAGTCTAAGACTATTTGCCACTAGTATAGAGCCAGACCAGCCTGCACAACTGTACTGCACTCTGGTCAGGCTCTTTAGGCTCTTTACTGTCGTTTCAAAAATGGAAGAGGTACAGATCAATTTAAGAAATCCGCCATGCCTATGGTTTATTAAAAATTCCATGGAAAACAAGTACTTAATTATAATCTGAATGTTAGGAAGAGATTGTTTTTTCTTTATTTTTTTATTCTCTTAAAATTATATTGTCGAATTTATTCCTCATAATATTTTACTAATTTTACAGGATTTGTATGCGGAGAGAGCAGAACATATCATAGCAAAACACAACAACAGTCAGCCATTGTTTCTCTACCTACCTTACCAGAACGTTCATGAGCCTTTACAGGTAATCTAAGAATTTCTTTGGGATTGACGTATACGGAATTTATACATAACCATATGTGTATGGCGGCATATTTGAACCATGTCGTATTTAAGCTCCTGGGGGGGGGGGAGAAGAAAACACGAAAATACGTCAAAGTGATCTCTTTTTTCATCTTTTGCTCCGCGGGGCACCAGAAGAAATCAAGAAAACGCAAATATACGACAAAATGGTTACTTTCTCATATTTTCATGTTTTACCGTGGTGCCACGCGTAGTGAAAATACAGCATGGAACAAATGTTCTTTTTTCCTTTTTTATTTGAAATTATTGAAATTACTGTTTTTGGAAATTTCATTTGGGAACATATTTAATTATTGTTCACATCTTCTATTAAGGTACCACCACAATATGAAGCTTTGTACCCGGATGTTAAGACTAAAGACAGAAGAACATATTGCGGTAAGTTTATCAAATATTTCCTCTGAAGAGAAAGTTGACAGTTATGTCAAACTGCTTGGGAATATAAACAAGAAATTGAAGTTAAAAAAGTAATTATCATGTTTTTTTTTTAATTGCGTGAGGCAAAAAATCAGTACAAATAACGGTCCAGGTAACATTTTGTTTATTACTTTTCCCGTGGCCGAGTGGTTAAGGTCTTCTACATAAAATCATTTAAGCCATTCTGCTTTGGCGTCAATCCCGTCATCGACGTTTGGATTCTTTCATGTGTGAAACCTGTGCAGGTAGCTTACGGAAGATAGATGGTTTTACTCAGGTGCCCGCTTGGGGAGCAACTGAGGTATTCCTCCAGTTAAGCTGCATTGAAAGTTTGCCACGTTGATCACACAAAGTCACGTGGTATAGGCACCGTGTTTGTGCCGACTGGGAACAAAGGTCATATAAGAAATCTTGTTACTTACTTAAATCCAGCAATTCTTTTGTTTACTCTTTGAAAAAAATACCTTTCTCGTAAGTGTCAACACAGACCACTTGCCACATTTCTTATTTCTTTAGACTGATTCTTCTTTGTCTATGCATTTAAATTACGAGTCAGTCGGCACCATACCAAACCCATTACTACCAGCTTTGTAAACAAATGTGAAAGTATTAAAATCTTGGTCAATCTAATAGATAATTTATTACATTTTCACAGGTATGGTGACGGCATTAGACGCTGCTATTGGGCGTGTCGTAGAGGCTTTGAAAAAGAAAGGACTTTATGATGATACTATATTCTTTTTAACACCTGATGTAAGTTTTGATTATTATACATGAAACATTGTTGCTATATACAGTCATGAAGGAGATATATCCTTTGTCTATTCTGTACCAATAGGTTCTGGTATTACTGGTAACAATATTTCTTTGATGTCCTGCTGGGCTCCTTGCCGGTGGTCTTGTGTTGCTGATTCTCATGGGGGTTGCGTTCATTGAACCCCGTCCTTCCTTGTTGATTGATCTTGTTTTTCAAATTTCAATATTGATTAATATTAATAATTTTTGCAAATTTATTAATTAATTGTTGCAAATTTATAAGGAATCCTTTTTTGCATTAAGTCAAACATCTGCTGAGCTTCAATTACCAGAATCAGGTTTTCAGAGCATATTTTGTTTGCATAACAGTATGTCCTTCTATTTTCTCAAAAGTTTATGTGTATATTAATCGAGATAACTATAAAAAATATTTTTTGTACAGAATGGCGGAATGATAACAAAGGGTGGTAATAACTGGCCTTTACGTGGCTCAAAAATCACAGTATGGGAAGGTGGAACTAGGACTATTGGATTCGTTTCAGGATCCAGACTTCAGAAAACTGGATACACCTTCGATGGGTAAGCGATGATGCGCGAAATGATTGCTATTTGATTTTGCTCTTTGATGGCAGCCGACAGGCTATGGTTTAAAATCCGACTTTTGTTTTAAAGGCCCATTATACCTAAACGAAATATTTCCAATTTTATTTCAGCAATAGCTCTATTGGCAATCGCATTAATAATAGTGTAGTAGTATTTTGTATGGAAGTCAAAATACTTCTTTGTTTACATTTTCCTTCCTTTATGACACATTACTCACGTCCAGCGCTACTTTCTTCAGTTCTTACACATCTAACATGCCTTAAATACATTATTCAAACACTGTTAAACATATATTTCACATTTCTGAAAAAATAAAAGATATTGATTTCTGAGGCATAATGTGCCTTTAAAACATCTCAAAGGATTATAATTAGAGATATTTATCTTGCAGATTAATGCATGCGGTGGACTGGCACCCTACAATCCTCACAGCTGCTGGCCTTACCTATGGTAATATAAAACTTGTCATAGATTTAAACTTAAAGTGACATTATACTCATTTTTCTTTTGTTTTAATGTCAAGTTAAGTTGATTAATAATATGTAATATATTCCTAAATATTGGCTATTTAATGGTGATTGACTAATAATTAATAATGAAAAATGTTCATTAGACAATATCAACACTTCCTGAAATAATGAGATTGTCCGACTCTTTGTAAAACTTGAGTGTCACATGGATCATTGATAAATCTTTCATAGTTAAAAGGCAAAATTGAACACAATTGTGGCAAAGTATCAAGTAATTTTGATAATATTTACCTCTTCACTGACCATTTACACTTGGATGGGCATAATGTCACTGTAAGTATTTTATGTTATTTTTAAGAAGCATGCTCCAGTGATCGCAAGTTCCGGCAATTGTTAAAAAAGAAAGCAAAAAGAGCATACAAAAAACACAGTATATAAACGATTTGAACCCCAACCGGATCTTGTGAGAAGATCTCAGCATCTAAACGTACAATCAGGCGGGATGACACATTAAACTATTAAATATCGGCTTGAATTTAATATGTAACTGTAAGTTAAGATTTGAATCATATTAAGAAATAATTTATCTTTGCTTATACATACATCCATAACCTTCTTCGTAAAATATATGCGCATAAAACGCTGTGCTCTTCGCCTCATGTTTTGTTTATGTCAACACACGCCGATCACACAAGCAAATTTATGCCTAAAATTGTTGTACTTCACTATAACTCATATCTGAATCTTTACTTTATTATCTTAACCTCATGTTACCGGACAGACACTTGTGAAAATATCTTTGAATATTAATAAAACATAGTAAATAATAGAGGCGACATTTCCGATAACTGTACCCGTCTTGCTAAAACAATTTTAATGATCTGTACCCTACTTGTGTTTTCACTGAACCATTACTTGCGAGTCACTTTTGGTGATTTTTATTGTGTTTTTGTCGTATGTTCCAAATTTTATTGTGCAGAATATGAAGTTATTGTGTCACAAGAGAAAAGTACATGTTTTAGTTCTTTGTAAGTAACTAAAACTGCATATGAATGGAGTTTGTCATGTTTTCACTGTCTACGAAAATACCAGCATGAAGTGGCTGGTTATACGAATCAGAAAGTCAGTTATTTCTTGATAGGAATACTTAATTAACAAACCTCATTTTCACTTACCATTCATTTTTCTTTGGAAAGATATAAAGCTAAAATATTACATATGTACTATAACTTTTTTATATTTAGTTCAACGGCATTGTTGCTAGTTTTGACGTGACCGTTATATTATTAGTTATAAAGATTGTTGACAGGTTATATGGCCCTATATAAACGGCTGTTTGTAAATATAACCCGAGCCGCTAGGCGAGGGTTATATTGCAAACAGCCGTTTATATACGGCCATATAACCTGTCAACAATCTTTATAACGAATTTATAATACAGCAAGCATCATTTTTTAGAGAAAAAAGTAAGATTTCTTCATGAATCGACAGCAGCCGTGTATATAAAACTTTATAATACTGCACGTTTGTAACGTCGCTTTTCATTGGATAATCGTGACGTTTATATAGTTTTATATACACGGCTGCTGTCGATTCATGAAGAAATCTTACTTTTTTCTCTAAAAAATGATGCTTGCTGTATTATAAATTCGTTATAAAGATTGTTGACAGGTTATATGGCCGTATATAAACGGCTGTTTGCAATATAACCCTCGCCTAGCGGCTCGGGTTATATTTACAAATAGCCGTTTATATAGGGCCATATAACCTGTCAACAATCTTTATAACTAATAATATAAACGTCACGATTATCCAATGAAAAGCGACGTTACAAACGTGCAGTATTATAAAACGTCACGTATCAATAAACCTCGAAATATCATTACAAGATTTTTGCAGATTACTTATTTCAACATGTTGAAAGCTTTACACTTACCGTTGATTTCATTCTGCTTGAAATTCATTGACTTTCTATTTCTGACATGTACGACTTTTATTCTTGTATATCTTTAATAGGCATCGACAATTTTGGCATGTTTTTAAACGGTGAAAGTAGTATATGCGTCACTTGAACGTCACGACTGCACACGTGCGCTTGAACGCCACGACTGCACACGTGCGGCAGCAAGACTGCACACGTGCGGCGGCCATCTTGTTTCCATACATAGTAATATATTTGCATACAATGCGAATATTGGTACATGTGCGGCGGTTATTTTATTGAGTTATGTTTTAATATCCCATCGATGCACAGGTCCTAGATAAATTATTTATATGGTATATGTGACATGAAATATACTTTTACCCGGTTTTACGCAAATGACCGTCATTTACGTATAACGGAATAAGCCCACAAACGCAACAGTCATTTGGAGGTTTTAGTTTTAATATACAAATTTAATCTTTTATTAAAGTATTTGGCCAATATCTATATTCATATTCCAAGTAATATTGAATTCAAAAATATGTATCGGAGCTAATTCATAAACAACTCAGTTGAAATCAGCTTTAATTAATAAATGACACATTTTATATACCCGTAGGCTGTACCGTGTAACAAGTACATTAAAATTAAATATGAATATTTTACACCTTAAGGCTGAACATTTAAATGATGTTTGCACCATGTTAGCCTTTTTAAACAATACTAAAAGTAATAAATCCTTAAGTAAATGACCCATTTTATATACCCATAGGCTGTACAACTATTATTTGCTGTTGTAAGCCGTATTTTAAATGTACATTAAAATTAAATATGAAAATTTTATGTCTATAACTAAAGATTTAAATGAT